CATCTTCAGTGTATCATAGGCTTCTGGCCTCTTTGTGCACCTGAACTGACAGGCACATACACACTGTAAGAAAAATATCATTGTATAATAGACAGTATTCATTGCTAACACCAATTATAGAAACCTTTACATCCTTTACAGAGTTCATTACATTTCCTGTTGTGCTTATCTTAATGGATATTCCACATATTATGTATAAAAGAAAAGTTAGACATAATGCCTAGGTTATATGAAATTATAGGTTTTTGAGCCCTAAATTGGTCTCCGTGGTTATTGCTGGTCTGAGATGAAACAATCTTTCCAATTCCACTATTACCTCATCTCCAGATGTCTTCTCATTATTATTGAATATTTCACTAAATACTTTCTTACATTATGTATTATCTTCAGTGCATCACTAAATGGAACACTGAACAACAGACTTCTTTTTTTTCTGTTCCTTTCCCTTCCTTCCTTCCTTCCTTCCTTCCTTTCTTCCTTCCTTCTTTCTTTTCTGAGATAGGGTTTCTCTGTCTAAATGACCTGCCTATACTGAAATTCACTCTGCAGACCACACTGGCCTCAAACTCACAGAGATCCACCTTCATCTACCTCCTGAGTGCTGGGATTAAAAGTGTGCACCACCATTCATGACTCAAGTATTTTTCTTAATGAACAGCATTTAACTCAATGTAGAAACAAACAAAAACTATTACATTTGTCCATCTTTATTTTTAATTACCTTGCTCAGATTTTCTCTGAAAATAGTAACAATAAGGGATACAAATAGCAGCAACAACAAAAGTACTCTTAACTTTAGTAGCATGTAAGACAGAAATTGCTATTTCACAAATGTAAAATATGTTTTGGCATTTGTTTCTTTATGTGTGTGTTCACATTCTACATGCCATGGGTGGAGGTCAGGAGGTCAGAGAACAACCTGTCAGAATTAAGTTCTTTCCTCTCACCATGTGGGTCTTAAGAGTCAATTTGAGCTCATGATCCTTCTAGGTAAACACTGTTACTGATTGAGCCACGTCACTGACCTCAGGCCTAATGCATTTATGGACATCACCATGTAATGATTAATTATGTGGCTGCAAGAATTAACTCCACTGTATTATTCTGTATGATTTTAACAATGTATAAGTCTTATAATGCTTAATGGAGAGCCCTTGTAATTTGGAGCCCCTATGTGTTCTACTATTTCTCTTTAGTCATTGCATCCCTATGATATGACCAATATAGAAAACTAATCTATTGAAATGATCCCAAGGTTAGATGTTCAGTTTTCAGCCTTATGGGAGGAAGCACACAATATAATATAATGTACCTGATACTCTATCATATCTTTTGGATTATGAGAAATCTCTATATGTGCATACACTGGTAGTAGATATTACTGAAGTTAAAAAATACTGGACAGGTAAGATATCTAGATAAGATACTTAATCTTAAAATATGATAAAATTCATATTTAATCTAAGAGAAAATTAATGAAAATGATATTTTTAAAGTATAGTATGGAGCACATGCAATTTGAAGAAGTTTTAAAAGTATCATAAAAGAACTTATTGCAGTATATTTAAATTAAAATAGTTAACAGGGCAGCATTACCTCAGTGTTTTCAGAAATGATATCTACGTAAAAAATGTGATAAAATAATGCCAATCTCTCCAAAGAATGAGAAATTACTAAAATTAAGGAAATAAATGAAGAAATTTTCAACATATTTATGATAGTTATAATAAAAAATTGTTTGGCTTATAAAAGTTTTATTCCATTGTATTTTATTCATAATTTAATCAATGAGTATTTGCCTAGTAGATCCTAACATAAATTTCTTATCCTATATTCTGAGGGCCATAAATTGAACTTCGACCTTTTTCTTTTTAATTCTTTGAGAATTCCATACATTGTAATCTCATTATACTCTCCTATCTCACAACTCCTCTCAGATGCACAGTCTCTTCCCTAGCTACGTTTGTGTCCTTGTAGCACCAAAATTAAAAATATCTAGAGACTGATATTGGGGTTCAAACTCCTGTTGAAGGTCAGAAAAGCAAAGAAGCTGGTCATTAGCTTCTTATCTCTACCTCAGGCTGAAAGGGCTGATCTTGGCTCCATGAGCTTTCACCAAGCCCCAGAGTGTAACCTTTCCTCAGCATAGCTGAAGAATGAATGCCTCCTAATGCATACTGAACACTGCTTCTATCTTTTATACCCATCTAGTGCTGGGATTAAAGGCATGCTATCTGTTACTCTTCTAGACTGATTCAATCTTGTGTATTCCTGGGTAGCCTTGAACACAGAGAGATCCATCTACCTCTTAATCTTGAGTCCTAGGATTAAAGGTGTGTACCACCACCTCCTAGCTTCTGGCCACTGCAATTAAAGGTGTGTGCCTGGCTTCTATAGACTGTGGTTGACTTTGCTTTCTGAATCCTTAGGCAAGCTTTAATAAATTTTAAATAATATATCACCAATTGTCATCAATTTTTAAAAACCTATGGAGTCCAGTTTATTCTGCACATATAGTCTTGGGTAAATTTCCATCCCTTGATGTGCTGTTGATCTGCCTGGGTTCATATCTTTAAAGAAAACCAACTTTCCCTCTTTCAATAGCTTATCAATTACCATTATCTACTCAGATGGAGTGGGACATTTTGCCTACCTCCTACCTCCATGCTGGGATTTTGTATGTCTTGGAATTTTACTGGTCTTGTGCATGCTGTCTTGACCACTATAATTTCATATGTGCAAATAATGTCCTATGTCTGAAAAACACAGATTTGTTGTGTAATTCTCCACCTCTGGCTCTTACATACTTTCTGCCCCGTATTCCACAATGATCCCTGAGTTTGGTAATGGTGGGTATGATATAGACGCCCTATATAGAGCTGAGAATTTTGTACTCTTATAGTCTCTGAACTTTAAACAGTTGTGAGACTTGAGTCTCTGTGCTAAAAATACAAAACAAAACAAAACAAAAAAACACCTGCTACAAGACAAAGCTCCTCTGGTAAGGTTTGAGAGATACTATGTTCATTTATAAAAGTAATAATGTAAGGTTCTCTTCTAGGACCCATGATTTGTCTAGGCACAGGTTCTTATATAAAAAGTGTAAATGTTGTGACCTTAAAATGGGGGCGACAGTGCCTCCAGTAGATACGACAGGCTAGCAACAACAACAAACCCAGTGCCAGAAGTTAATGATTACCTCGTATGGATTAAGTGAAGTGCCATAGAACTATCCCAAAACATTACAGGCTGCTGCCGTTTCTCTTGGTTATTCTCTACAAATAGATAGTAAGACCCTATTGCTAACACTAACCCTAACCCTATTGCTGAAGAAATCACATACTTGAGTCATAGAACAGGGAGAAGAAAACCTCGATACCCAGCTAGAAGCTTTATCTGTATTGGCTAGTTTTTATGGTGTTACAAGGTTCTAGTCATGCTACTTACCCATTTGTGAGCATTTGGAGCTAAAGTAATGACTAGTCTGCCAAGATATCCCCACTGGTGTAATAGCAGTGCTATTCGTGCCAATTTAGGTTTTTCTTGGTCATAATAAAAGCATCAGGAGGCTGTGCTCTTCAGGAAAGCTCTAAGTGATAATCCATTTTATTGTCTTTTTCACCGTTTAAGGTCTCCTTCAGTCTTCCTTTGTGGCCCCTTTCTTGCTTATCAAATAAATCAAACAGCATAATGTTTCTTTGTTCCTTCTTCCATTATCACTTCTCTTTCTCTGACTTCTGCATTCTTCTTAACACTTTTAAGGATCCTGGTGATTATATTGTATTCAATTGGATAGTTTAAATTTATTTTTATGTTTATGACAAAATGATTAACAATTCTACATTTGCCTGAAAATTTAATTTCCTTTGGCCATTCAGCCACAACTTTGGAAATGAGTTCATGAGTGTTTAGGAGAGCATTAATATACCTATCACATCATTTTGTGTTTGTGTGTAAAAAATTCCATCCTGATCCTATCATAGATGGAAGCAATAGGGCAACTGGGAGAATGTAAATCAATTCTGAGGTTGTTCTTATCAGATCAAATGAATAATCTATGGAATGTGGAGGCATGTGACCCAAATAAGAAGTCACACCTGATAGATCAAAATTTTCTTTCGACTTCTATAATGAAGACTGCTTATGAGCCACTAGAATGATTTAGAGAATTTCCATCATTTGTGAAGATTTTGCTTGGTTTGTTTTTTAACATCTTTCATTTTTTTAAACTGCATTCAAGTACTCCTTTGTATCATTTGACTGACTATATGGACTGATTACTCAATGATGATTCAGAGGTAGAAATCTTTTACCAGAACATGAACTTTTTAGATTGGAACTAGTTGAGAAGTGACATGAACAAAGACTGACTTTCTAATTTATTTTCTAAGAAAGTGGTCTGTTCAACCAACTAACAAATAGTCATAATCTTATTTCTTAACTGGAACCATATGAACAGCTAAGAGAAGTGGCAGTTCAGGGTAATAAATCAGCTTAATAAAGTATTGACTAATGGTTTTTAATTTTCAAAGTGTGTGCATTGTTCTAAGTTTTGTTAGGTTTTTATACTAAATTGATGGGATTTCTTTTTGTAAAATGAAATTCTTTCAGAACTTATTGGTGACATTCCAATTTCATTTTTCTGCTGAACTGAAACCATAGCAACCTGTATATTGTGTATTTCATTTGTCCCATGTTAAAGTGATTTTTATCTTCTTGGACTAGTCTCATTTCACATAAAAATTCAGTTTACTCCAAATATGTGAGAAACACAGTATCCTAAACCTTGAAACAAATTTTAACTATATTAGCTTGCAATATGGTCTAAATTTAAGTGGTTTTGTACAAACACACAGACACACACACACAGACACACACACAGACACACACACACACACACACACACACACACACAAATTGATTTTTTTCAGTTCACTTTATACTTTCTAGAATATGTCTTAACAAACAAAATTGTAATTTCTTTATTTCCTTTTTTTCCCTGATGTTTCTTTTTAAAAAATTGACCATAGCATAGCATTTTAAAATTTCTAAAGTGGCAAACAGACCATAGAAAGATATTTATCTGGGCACCTGCTTGAAACCAACAGTTTCAACATACTGCTGGCCTTGATTCAGGGTCAACTGTAATTTCTTTGCCATGGCACATTTTCTTTTTTCATGTTAACCCATGAGAAGTGAAAATAGTGCATGTGATGAAATTTTCCAGTATCAGTCATGATCCTGTTTAACTATAATCTGAGCCAAAGGATATCTTATATAGATAACATATCACCATGTAACAACTTCACAGTTGTATTAAAGCAGAGAAGGTATTTAACATAATTGAAGTAGTCAACTCTAGGAACTACATTCAGAATATTCTATATAACAAAAAGAGTAAACCAATTGAAAAGGTAGTATTTTTGACATTGTAGATGGAGCCTCTGACAAGTGACTAAAGCATCTGAGATCCAGGTATACTTTGTGTATAAGGAAAAAGACATTAAACTTCTGCAAATTTCCTGTGAAGACAATAGGAAAATGCTACCACCAGATTCCTTTTCTGTAGCAAAAATTCACATTAGATAACTAATATGATATGATTGTGAATATTCAAACTATATGGTAGTATGTGTATATACAAATACATGTATGCATACAATAACAATTCATTTAAAAATATGTCATGAATTTGAAGGAGAGTAGGGAGGGATATATGGTGGGGTTTTGTGGAGGGAAATAGAAGGAAGAAATTTTGTAAAATAAACAAAGAAAAATCTAAATATTGACAATGTTAGCTTTTTTTTTCTAACTGCAACATTACCATGTACAGAAAGCCTCAGGAAGCATCTATCCTTCTGCAATGGCCTAATATGTTAGAGGGGTAGTTTTTTTTGTTTGTTTGTTTTGTTTTGTGGATCTCTTATGCATAGTAATTAAAACTTAAAATATAACTTTGGCTCTCACATTAGAAGTCAGAGAAACATCTTGCTTAATGAAATAATGTCAGCATTGTAAAAAGGAGGAAAATAAAAATATCATATATAATATTTAAGCATAGTATATCTGAGAACAAACAATATTATTTCAAAATCACTGACTATAGGAATGTACACTAAATGCTGTACTTTTTAACTGGAATTCTTGGGAAATTGTCTGCTTGCTACATGTTTTTCAATATTCAATGTAATCAGGGCCAGCAAGATCAGTTAAGAAGTGAAGGCACCACCATGCCTGATGAATCCAGTTTAACTCTTAGTACCTACATAGTGAAAGAATATAACCAACTCTCTCAAGTTGTTCTCTGACTTTCACATATATTTAATGGCATGTGTGTGCCCAAAACACACAAAAATAATTAAATTGTGATGTTCTATTTAATCATTGAATCATAAATTTTATAAATCTTTTGAATGGACAATGTTTTTAAATTGCATGCACTCATGATCTGAATCTGAAAATTTCTCTGATTCTAATCATTGCAGCTAATGTAGAAAAATTTAAAATGAAAATTATGATACTTGTTCTTCAGTATGGCATATATATGATAATTCTTGTGAGAGACAGAAAATGAAAAGCCGTATTTCTCCACAAAGCAAGTTGTTAGTATGCTTTGTATGATATATGAAACTTAAGTGCTTTAGAGAAGTTCCCTTTATAGAGGTCACCCTACAAAAAACCTGGGATTGTTGCTGGACTTAATGGAGGGATTATATCTGTGCCCCCAACAAGACAGTTACATGTGCTCAAATAAGCCAATTAAAGGAGCCAAATTCTGAAATGTAGAAAAATAGATTTTCTAAAGTCTGTTTTCAAGGTTCCTAACTTGAAAGCAGGGCTTATATAGAAAGCAAGAGATATACATAACTGAGCAGTCTGGCAAGGTGTTTCTCCTGTCTCAGTTCTGAGTGTCTCCTGCAAGGTCATCTGACAGGCTTTAAATCTTTCTTCTGAAGATAAGTTTCTCCTCTGGGTGCTCCCGGGGCTTCAGACATTTCTCTCAGCAGGTGATTCCTGCAGAAATGTTAATGTCTTGGGGTTCATTCTTTCAATAGTCTGATAGCAAAGAGGGGTGAAACAAGTATCTCTTTAGAATATTCCAGCAATACAAAATGGTTACAGAATAGAACAAGAAGTTTGATTCTTTGTTCTTTAAGTTAATGGTACCAACAAATCCAAGTTGATTAATATTTATCTTCCAACATAATATCATGATGACAAAACTTTTAATTTTCCCTTTAAAGTTGGGGGGAAAGTGAAAAGTCAGTGATTTTAAAGAAAACAATACTTTTGAGGCCCTTACGGATCCTTAATTTTTCTCCTGTCATTGTTGACTAATTTTCTCTGTCACTCTGAAAATCAGAAAGTGATACTAATTGGCATCTTCAAGTTCTGGGAAGCAGTGTTCTACATTTACAATACAAATCACTCCTTACCTATATTGAAACCTACTAAAGGTTTAGTGTGTATATCTTATAAATATTTGAATAAAAATTAAAAACACTGAGGAAATACTACTTTCACTGTTCGGAATGATAAGGGATTTATTGTCAATTTGCTTAAATCACATGTGTTATTTCTTTTTTCTATTTTTTATTTAAATTAGAAACAAGCTTGATTTACATGTCTATCCAAGTTCCCTCTCCCTCCCCTCCTCCTCTGCCCCCAACTGACTTCCTATCCTATCCCCTTTCTGCTCCACAGGGAGGGTGAGACCTTCCGGGGGGGGGTACACAGTCTGTCATATCATTTGGAGCAGGGCCTAGGCCCAATTCCCTGTGTCTAGGTTGAAAGAGTAGCTCTCTATGTGGAATGGGCTCCCCAGAGTAAATTCCTATGCTAGGAATAAATACTGATATCCTACAAGTGGTCCCATAGATTGCCGAGGCCTCCTCATTGACACCCATGTTCAGGGAGTCTGGAACAGTGCTCTCTATGCTGGTTTCTCAGCTGTCAGTCTAGGGTCCATAAGCTTCCCCTTGTTCAGGTCAGCTGATTCTGTGGGTTTCACCAGTCTGTTCTTGACCCCTTTGCTCATTACTCCTCCCTCTCTACAACTGAATTCCATGAGTTCATTTCAGTGTTTAGCTGTGGGTATTTACTTCTGCTTCCATCAGGTATTGGATGAAGGCTCTCGGATGCCATGTAAGGTAGTCATCAATCTCATCATCAGGGGAGGGCATTTAAGTTAGCCTCTCCACTATTGCTTAGATTGTTAGTTGGGGTCATCCTTGTAGATCTCTGGACATTTCCCTAATGCCAGATTTCTCTTTAAACCTATAATGCCTACCTCTATTATGGTATCTCTTATCTTGCTCTCCTCTATTCTCTAAACTCAATCTCCCTGCCCACTCATGTCTTCCTCTCCCATCCTCTTCTCCCTTTCTCTTTCTCCTAGCTCCCCCTCCCTTCCAACTATGCTCCCAATTTTCTCAGGACAAATGTGTAATTTCAACAACTAAAATTTAGTTTCTATCTTTATTTTAAGAGATTATTACACAAGGTTGTAGATGTGGTCCAATGGTTAAGAATGGTTGGTGTTCTTACAGAGAACCTGAGTTTGGTTCACAGTACCCAAGTCAGATGTTTCAAAATCACTTTTACCCACAGCTCCAGGGCATTTGAAACCCTCTTCTGGGATCATAAGGCACCATACACACATACAGATACACATAGACAGGCTCAAAGATATTTTTAATCATATAAGAAACTTATAATGAATTTTAAGCCAAGAACATTAATTTGAAAATATGGTCTGCTGATGATATTTCTGCATACATGGAGAAAGCAAAATGACCACCGCTTTGATTTCTTTTGTTTTACCAATTGTGTTTCAGAATGAAGTGTAAGCATTGAAAATGTTTTTGAGAAGGTGGCTATGTTTTTATGTGATAAAGTATGAAACATCTATTTGAAAAACATGCCATGTTCTGTCACTTCAAAAACAGCGTTGTGAAAAGTCATATTAATAAACATAGCAAGATTCTGTGATTTATGATTAATTTTTTTACTATTAGCTGATATATGCAAGATGTTAAGGAGATTTTAATGACCTTAAAAAACTAATTATTTCATCAAATGTTGACACGTTGTTTCTTAATAGGCTGGTTCTTAATTTGAATTTCACTTTCTATATTTTTTAACTATTACAAATATTTTTGCTTTGCATCTGTCTTTTACTGGCAACAGTTCCAGTTTATACTGATTTTTGGCACATTTTCCCTCTCAAGTTCCTTTCTGAATTATACCACATTATTATTCAATGAATTCAAATAAAAGTAAATGTTAATTAAACACTTCATTCTCCAAGGAAAGGAAATTTGAAGCCCTTTCTGAAACAGAAGCGATCATTGTGACCTCTGTGTGAATATTAAAATGTTATTTACTCTTAAACATTTAAGATGCTCAGCATTTATAGTTACAGGTTTCCTTAACTAAAATCAATTATTGACTCATTTTTGTAAAGGTTTGTCTTTGAGACATAGTTCATATGTAACAATTATATTTTAGTTGCCAAATATTAACAAAATCAGGCCAGTGAGATGGCTCAGTGGGTAACAGTGCTTATTGCTAAGACTGATGACCTGAGTTGGATTCCAGAACTCACATGGTGGAAGACAAGATCACACACATTTACACATGCATGCACCCCATACACAAAAATATATGGATATGAAAACATCAAAAAAGTAAAAGCAGCAAGGGATTTAGATATTACATATCTTTCTGCAATGTCCAGTATGTAAATTCTACAAATTTCAAATGACTGTGGCTTTCACAGCACCTATTTGGAGTTTTTATTTTTCTTTGTTTAGAAAAGATGACTTACAAACCTTACCTGATTATCCATGCTCTCATAAAACTTACTTTGCAGATATTAGGCTCAATGTATATAATAATTAGCAAATAGAATTTTCATATGATGGAATAAAGAAATGCAAAAGAATGTGGTGGTCTACCAGACTAGTCCTTATTCCATGTGTCATAAATTTGAATTCAAATATATTTTGGTATGAACACACTGAAAATTATTTAAATCAATTAAGGCAGAATCAGAGGAACAATGCAAATTTATTTAAGATTAGAAACTTTTGTTTGCTTTATTTCTTTACTGAGAGTTCAGTCAGAGAAAGACAACTTTC